TTTTTATTTACAATATAGGTGACATAAATATTCTAAAATATATTAAGATTGTTTTATGTAATGGTGATTGTGATATGATAAACAGTTCATCTCAGAAGAAATGTCTTCACTCTGAAACATGCAGCAATCTTTTTCAGTTTTTTTCTGTTTGATAATTGCACTAAACCAAATCATGTTTTCAAATTTTATTTGACTTGCAGCCCTATAGGCAAATTCCTAGGCTAGCAGTAGCAAGCTAGATTTGAAAGCATAAGATCCCACCCTCCCTGCAAATCACTCTCCTCCAAAACACATGGACATGTACAGGCAGACTAGAGGCTAACCAGCGACACGATGAGAGATGGCATTGGTGGAGGGTTGAATGCAACGCTACCAGATTACCTCATGTCTCATTCACCAGTGAGAAAACATTACAGTACAAAGCACATTATATTACAATAATAACGCCTTCCATTATTGCTCGGTCTGCAATAATGTAATGGAACAGGCAGATGACGTATCATGTCTGCGCAAACAAGGTGCACAGAGGTATGTGAATACATAGGTTAACAGGCAGGTAGAACAGCCTATTGTAGCCCTCGGGCCGAGGGATATGATTGGACGAACATTTTATGGTTCTACGCTTTTCACAGATGACATAAATACATTTAGACAACTTAACATAGTGATTGCTATCAGGGTGTGAAGAGACTTTCAACCTGCATAACAAAAAATGTTTTTGAACTGAATCCCCTGCACTGCCTTTAATTAGCTTTTTGTCAACTTACAAACCCCCTGCAGTTCTTTCATGAACCCCAAGGGGTTCACAAACCCTCATTTGAGAAACCTGTCCTATATAGTGCACTATTCATGGAAATAGTAAAGCAGTGAACAAGTGACTGATTTCAAATGTAGCTTTAGTAGGATGTAGGTGTTATTTATAATTTAGGGAGGATAATCAAGCTATTTAATTCAACCAACTTAATTCAACCAACTTAAGGTTAGGGGTAGAAGAGCCAAAGGTTGCTTCTCAATAAGCTCCCTAGCTCGTGAAGCAGTATACCATGTACACAAATCTACAGGTAGGTCACCGGTAAGGACCCTGGCTCACTACACATTGGGACAGTGATTACTCTATTTCCGGTGACGTGACTATGTACAACATCAACGTGCAAACGTTAACTAGATGTGTTGAATTTTGCTATTGAGACAGCCCTTAAAATGGCCAACTCCTTGAACAGTGCCTTGACTGCTGAACTACAGTGCTGATTAAGATGCACCCAAAAACACACCAATGACTCACACTTGCTGATTTCTCTCACTCATTAATGTTGACTTTGGCAAGGTGATTTTATAATGTAGGGGAAGTTTCTAACGAGACTTTGTAGTGCAGAATGAGTCATATATATATATATATTTTATATCCATGCTGGTGAAGGAGATACATGAGTACATGTTGTATTTATGCATAACCACAATTTTTGCATAACCACAAGTCCATAACAGTTTAATTTGAAAATTAATACATTTCACAATTGAAAACTAATATGTCCATAAATCCATGTTATCGCAGCATAATCAATCACAAACTTGCCTATCTGAGTAGTAACATAGACAGTGTAGAAACTTACATATTTCTGAAGCTATTTTATAAATTCAATTTCAATTCAATCTCAGTTTATTTACAAAGCACAGTTAAAAACAAAATTAAATAACAGCCATTAACAGAATTGAGACAAAGACAAAGTCCCAAATAAAACCACAAACCATAGAGTGAATCAGTTTTAAATCATGGATAATAAGCCAAAATGGATAGTGTGGGAGCAGTTCTGATTTAAATAGGTAGACTATTCCAAAGTCTCGGAGCGGCTATTGCAAATGCTCAATCACCCCTAGACTTTAGTCTTGTTTTAAGAAACACTAAGTGCCTTAAATTGGCTGACCTAAGAGCTCTTGCTGGTTGGTGGTCAGAGAGGTATAATGGTGCTAAACCATTTAAAGACTTAAAAACCAATAAGAGCAATTTAAAATGAATCCTATAGAGCATGCGTAACCAGTGTGAAGACCATAGAACAGGTTTAATATGCTCATGCTTTCAAGCTTCTGTTAGGACTCTGACAGCTGCATTTTGAACCATTTGAAGATGGTTTAGAGAAGATTGACTGATCCCCAAATAGAGTTACAATATACAAGCCTTATGGTTTAATCTAAACCTAACTTAATTTAACCTAAATCAATCACGCTTTAAAGCACTGTCCAGTAAAACGCCCAGATTTTTCACATACGGCCTGACATAAGATGCCAGAATCCAAGATTTAAGTTTGGTATACTTTGGTAATCATTAAAATTTAGGGACATTCATGCTTTAACATCCAAGAGGCAAGCAACCACAGGGTCTAAACCAAAGATGGAACCAAGTGGAAGCATATAGAGAGAAAATAACATGGGAGCTAGAGTAGAACCTTGGGGGACCCCGCAGGTCAGAGGGACAGTACCAGAGTGAAAATGGCCAATGTTTGATTGAGACTGTTAGTAAAATAGATTAGAATCAATTTAGGGCCGAACCACTAATGCCCACCAGCTGTTCTAAGCGGGACAGAAAAACTTTGTGGCCTACAGTGTCAAAGGCAGCGCTCAAGTCTAAAAGTATACCAGAGCTTCAGAATCCCCAGAGTCGGTAGCTAAAGCACTGGTTCTTAAACTTTTTTGGTCACGCCCCCCTTTAAACCTATAAAAAAATCTGGCGCCCCCCCTTCCTGAATCCCCACCTCAGACTACCAAATAATTTCACTAAACGTTATGAAAAATTAATGCTTTTTTAATAATAATAAAAAAAAACCCACAGGGTGTCACGTGTATGTTCTGTGTTTCTGTTCTCCCTGCCTTGACCTAGTTTTCCTTTGTTGCTTGATTAGTTCATTAGTTTCCACCTGTGTTCATTAATTATCTTATTAGTCCATCGTTTGGTTTTGTATAAATAGCCCTGCCTTTCCTCAGTTTCTTTGTCCTGTCTCTGTCATGTAAAGAGGTTGTTTTCTCCTGGTTTTTCCCAAGTGGATTTATTAAAAGACTGTTTATTTGATATCTGCCTCCTTCGAACTCCTTCAAGCTCCTTCGCCTGGCAACCCGTGACACAGGGAAAAAAACACCTGCATCACTTGAAACATTGAAAAATAACATAGAGAGAATAATAGACTTCATTTATGGTTTTTCTCTTCCCTTTCACACACCGATCCATCTCCTATTCTAAGTTACGTCCTTTGGCTGTTTACTGTTTTAATTCTTTTCTTTTTTCTGCTGATGGCCCAAGACCCCCCCCCCACTCCTAACTCAAGGCATTTATTAATCAAATTTAAAAGTGTCAGACCCAGTAAATTGAACACTTGTTTAAGTAACCGTAGGGGAATTATATCTAAGGGTGAACCAGTTGGTTTGAGCTGATTAACAATGACATGTAAAAAAGAAAGAAATAGAAGTAAGCTGGCTAAAGACACCTGTATATTTTAAATGGCCTGCAGGGTCTCCAGCAACAGGTTAAATGGTATGCATAATCTTGTTAATAAAAACCAGCAGAAATGCTCACACATAGCTACCGACTCTGTAGTATAAACACAGACAACATGGTTTAACACAGCGTTGATGGTATTGAAAATATTTTTATGATTCTTGCTATAAGAGTCAAAAAAATTGGTCTGACAGCTCTGACAGCCTTCTTATACTTAAGAGAATTCTTTAAGATTTCATAAGAAATCTGAAGTTTGTCTTTTTTCCATTTGCTCTCGACCCTTCTACATGCCTGTCTCAATGGTACAAGTGGTATTATTCAACCACAGCTCAGGAGTCAACTTATGCTGTTTAGTCCTCAGTGGAGCCGCAGAATCCAAAATTTTAGTGCAGTGATCCTCTGAGTCAGAGGCGTGAGGTTTGATAGCATTCAATGATAATGGCATGTTAAATATAATAGGATTATGGTCAGAAAAACTGTGGTCAATCTCAATATCACCCATAGGGAACCCATGAGGCATTATAAGATCAAGTGTGTCCATGTATATGATTAGGTTCTTTTACAAGCTGCACTAAATCAAAAGCTTCTGTTTGACTAATAAAGTCATTTGCAAATGAGTTTGAGGGGCAGCATATGTGAATATTAAAATCCCCAATAATTAAAAATCTATCAAAATTGGGGATGATTCCCCCCCAAGAAGTTTTAGAAATCTGTCAGAAAGTCTTTGTGTGGCTTTGGAGGCCTGTAGACCACAGAAATAACTACCAGGATATCAGAGTCCAGCAACTGCAATTGAAATTATAATGTAGTTATCTGTATAGTCTGACACTGAAAACATTCTTTAAAAATTGAAACCAAACCGCCATCCCGTCTCAGATCAGTGGGGGAGTTACAAAATTTACAGTTGGGTGATAAGAGTTCAGAGAAAGGAGTGTATGGAAAGTTAAGGTATCTGCATGGAATCTGCAATATCCAATATTGAGAGTGGTAATGTCTTATGGGTGGTAAGGGCAAAAAATACAGAAGAATGAAATGCAAGCTTTCAGCCTTTCTGTTGTGTAGTGTGTCTGAAGAGAAATTTACATTTATAGTAACTTGTGTGATTCACACTTACATTGTTGTCATAATTTTTCAATGAAATAAAAAACAGTCAGCCCACTCCAAGACACCTCTCATTTTATCCTGCACCGTTTCGCCTGTTCCCTTCTGGGTATGCCTCTATTGTCATGCCGTGAGTAGATAGCCGGTCATGGGGAAAAGTCATTTAACAGAGGTCCTCAGCTGGCACTAAATCTTCTCTGAGAGAGATGAGTTGTGGAGCGGGGAGGTGACTTCCATCATGTAGGCGAACTGCTCCTTGCTTGAATACACATCAGTTGTCTTCCTTCCTCCTTCAGAGAAGTCTACTCTGCCCATTGCTTTCTCATTTTAAAATTACCCACCATTATCCTTAAATTTGTTTGCACTTCTCATTTTGGTTCCTGGCATGACTCTCTATTCACATATTATATTTAAGGACATTCTCAACAACCTGGAGAATGTGGAGTCATGTGACCTGGAGGAAGAGGACCTCATGTTGGATTTGGACCTGTCTGAAGATGCATCTTTACCTTTCACTTGCAAATTCTTGATCACATCTGGGGGGACACTGTCCTGTCTTCCTGTAGCACTGTCTTAGTCGTCTTTCATTACAGATATGCCAGTTTATTGCTCTGGTCACATATTCACTCTTTATGTCTCCCTGCAGCAGGCCAATGGCTTGTTCACGCAGGTGAGCAGGAACCCTGGGCATCTTTCTTCTGGTGTTTTTTAGAGTTAGCAGAAAGGTCCTAAGTTATTACAACTGTGACCTTCATTGCCTATAGCCTGTAAACAGTTTGTCTTTAGGACTGTTCCACAGCTGCAAGAGCAATAATTGTGTATGGTTCATTGAACAGTTATGAAAAATAGTATTAGAAATAGTATTTCTATAAAGAATTTTGCTGAATTTATATACTACTGATACCCCACTATATGCAAATTCAGGCTTTTATATTGTTAAATTAAGTACATGTAAATATAGGGAAACTGACTCAAGACTGGCTCAACAAACTTTCATGCAGATTTACCCCAGATATACGGTACGCCACTGTATGCCGTCACTGTGATATTTTTACATGAGAGAGAGTTTGATGTCATTCTCCTGTGTTTTGAGTGGAATTATGAGTTTTGAGCATTTACTAACGCAGTATCTGAACACTGAATACAGAGCTGGCAGTAGTTCTGTCTGTGTAGGAGTGTAAATTCACTTGTGGATCTGCTCTTATTTCTCCTTAAAAGTATAGTTCAGCCAGAAATGAAAATTCTGTCATCATTCACTAACCCTTAAGTTGTTCCAAACTAGAGGTCAACCGATAGTGGATTTTACTGATACTGATAGCTAGGTTGGACCACACTGGACAATACCGATTAATCAGCCCGATTTTTTAAATGTTTTTAAAATGGATACTGAATGAAAAATTAAATAATGCTTTTCTATTTTTTTTTAAAAAACAGTACTGAACCATACTTTGTAAATGAATAAAAAATATGACAATTAATTATTATATTAATCATTAAAGTTTGTAAAGATCATAGTTTATTAACTAATGTTAACAGAAGACACTTTAAAATTTAAAAATTGATTAGTAATAGTAAATGTTGAAATTAACATACTCTAACAAGGAACAATACTTATACAGCTTTCATTAATTTTAATGTTAAAAATAGACTCTTATTGTAAAGTGTTACCATTTCAGCAGTCATGCCATCTACATCTACACAAAAGCCATAGCATTGAAATTACATATATATATATATATATATATATATATACTCTCACACTTTATTTACTTCTATTTTAGAACACTTCATGATTATCTAATAAAAAATTATTAAAATTAAAATAAATATATGGCGGTCGCACACCGGACAAATGTGCATCTATGAGTACTGTATCACTCACCGGATGCAAAAGTTTACTTCAAGGATGAACAAAGTATGAGTTTGAAGTTTGGCGTTTAAAAAAACCAAAGCAAACTCAAAGAGAAAGTGCAATCTGAAGTTGTTATGTGCATTAAAAATGATTTGGGACAAATATAATGCAATTTAATGGAAAGCTATGTGAATGGCTCTCTGTGGCGAGGCAAGATTTTCTGTCAGCTGCATTTAAATCCGCAACTGACGTTTCCACTCTGTGCAGCACGCAGCCTCACGTGTCAAAATAAACAATACGTGTCAGTGATTTCTGCCTACACTTCTCAGCAGCTTAAGCAATGGACGCAACCCGGAAAGCTATCGGCATGGATTTTTGCCGATAGCCGATATTTCCGGCAATCAACTGTCGGTGCCGATTAATCGGCTAAACCAATTAATCGTCGACCTCTATTCCAAACCTGCTTGCATTTCTTTCTTCTTTTGAACATAAAAGAAGATATTTCAAAGAATATAGGTGACCAAACAGTTAACGGTCCACATTAACTTCCATTGTATGGAAAAAATACTATGAATGTTAGTGGGGACCATCAGCTATTTGGTTACACATATTTTAAGAAATTATTCCCATGTATTTATCAGAAGAATTAATTCATACAGTTTTACAACTTGAGCGTGCGTAAATGATGACCATTTTCATTTTTGGCTGAGCTATCCCTTAATGGTTATTCAGTAAAAAAAAAAAATATATATATACAGTATTTATATCTATATATATCTATATCAAACAACGTCTGTACTATTGATAGTTTGACCCAATGAATGACATACAGTACAGTATTTCCTTATAGTATGTCTTGTTTATCCTGCTGTTTATCAATATTAATGTTGTCTTAGACTTACTTGGTGAATGATAAAACAGGCAAATAAATCCGATGGATTCATATTACAGGAGGGACACAAGCCATATCTAGAGACCTAAATGTCATAGAGAAAGGAGTTTGACTTGGGCCAGTAAGCAAACTCACAAAACTCTAGAAAGCACAAATGTTCTGGAAGTCACCCACAAAAGCACTCACAAAACTACTTCCTGATGTACTGTACTTATCTGTTGTAGACACTGATGGGACATCACCTTATGAATGCTCTGAAAAAGATGGCTGGCCAACTCAGAGGAGGAGACGGCAGCAGCTCTGGGGCAGGCATGATCAGTTCTGCCGTAAAAACAGGTGACCTTTTTGTTCATGCATTTTGATGTTTGGTGAAATTGTTGTAAACTGTGTCAGTGCTCATCACAGTGTGTAAAAGCAAGCAACTATATTGTCATATTTTTCAGGTTAGTACTACACTTAGTAGTACAGATCTGGACTAATGGCGTTCAGCATAAAATCTGGTCGATTTTACAACTTTTATTCTTTGGAAGAGACTGAGAGTTTAAGGCCAGAAAAAAAAACAATGGAGTACCTTTCAACATACCTACAGTATATATACAATTCATTGCAGTTTCCAGTTGAAATTAACACTAGTGATAGTAAACCACTAAAGTCATATTTTTCCAATGAGCCTTGAACAGACTGTTAGTGGGCTGGCGTTAATCCATCAAAGGCTAAAACTAACTTATAAAAGATAAGCAAATATTTTTTTTATAATAGTCTTTATTCTGAAATTTTGTCATTTACGGTTCCAGTTTTCAGCCTTTAGTCTCCACAAGTGCATCAGTGTCTGTTTTATATGATTAACAAGGCAAGTTTGTCTCTTTGCTGCATGTCTAAATTCACATGTTGCATTAAATCTGAACATGAATAATCATAGACACTGAAAAGTCACTGCACATGAGAACTTTAAGCTTCACTTCACTGAACACAACTGTCCTTTGCCTGAATCGCTTCATTCTCAAATCCTCAAAGCCACATTTTCAGCAGAGCCCCTGCTTGCCCTATATATCCAGACTCAGAGAGATTCTGGATTACATGGCTGTCATTGGACATCTCAGCATTGTTGGCCTGTCTAAAGCTTTATTTTGCAGGTTGAGGCCTCTGGCTGACCTGGCACATGTTCTGTGATCGCTTTCTTTCTGTCTGACCTACAGAAGTGGCATTTTGCAATCGTTTGATGGGCGCAAGGAACAGGGGCTGGAGAGGTCAAGGTCAGACCATGTGACATTGGATGAGTTGACTCTGAAACTCATGACTCAAGACTGCTCTTCTGTCAAAGAACAGCTGCTTCTACTGAAGACACTGCTTCAGGTTAGATACAAACACATTTTTCCATATGTAACCAGGGATGCACACAAGTTTTTCAGTCTGGTTCTCATGAAAGCACCTGGAGATTTTGTTTGTTCACTATACTGCACTTTAACTAATCGTTTTTGTCTAAGAAAACACTGTAATGCAAATAACCTTTTGTCTACTTAAGTGTAAAGGCCCGTTCACACTAAGAACAATAACTATAAAGATAACTATAAAGAACGATATTAGCGTCCACACCAGCGGATGATATCGTCTGTTTATAATCGCACGCTCATCTGCCCCTTTGAATTCTCAAGCTCACTATAGCAGGATTGATTCTGATTGGGTGTCAGTGTTTTTATTGTTCATCAGCTGGAAAAAAAATCGTTCTTAAAGTGATTCCAACAATATAATTTCTCTGTGCTTTTATTGTTATAGCTGTGGTGTGGACTCTGCTATTCTTTAATATTGAGAATGATTTTTAGAACTATATCTTTATCGTTATCTTTATAGCTATCGATCGTCATTGGTGTGAACACGCCTTAACAGTGGAAAAGAACAGAGCCCGTATTTACAAAACATTTTAACTTAAGGTTAAAAGTAGCTCATAACTTGCCGATTTAGGAGAAAATTTTTATAAATAATGGGCATGTCAGTCCTAAATTTAGGATTCCTAAATTTTTGCTCTAAGAGTATTTCACAATCTCACATCTCCTAAATCTGTGAAATGTTAGGAGTAGTGAAGAGGACTCCTAAGTCACTAAGACCAAACTACAAACTATCCTAAAGTGGCTGTTGCTGGCAATCTGCCTCGGAACGTAAACATTTGACGATAATGTGTTTTTAAAAAGGTATCATCTTTGGTTTTGGAGGTTATCCCAACTCGATTTCCTTTGATTATATCATTGTTTTCATTAACCAGTTGGGCAAGAAGTAACAGCTGTTCTTGCGTCCAGTTTTGTTTTCTTTTACGTTTGCATGTCTTAATATCAGCCATGATTATTCTACTCTGTTAAATAAAAAGCTGTTTATATCCATATTTTACGGTGGCCGAGAAGTGCAAAGCAAATCACAATTCTGAAAACAAAATAAGGCTATGTACAGTAACACTTTAAAAGCGATTGTGAATAATCAGCTCCAGTAACGCAGATGGTTAAGCTCGCGTCTTCGGCTCTTTGACGCGATCGACCCGGGTTCGATCCTGCCTTTTGCCAAACTTTTTTTGTTTCTCCCTTTTCAAATTTCGTATTAGCAATGGATTCTATTTACACTCAGCATATTGCTAAAAATACTGCTATTTTCACTATTTACACTGAGTGCAAATACCTATTTACACTATGTTAAAATAGCAGGATTTTCTGCTATGCATACTACTTGTTGCAAATAGTGGCAATTATCTGCACTTCAGTAAAGGCGGGCTCGAACCCGGGTCGATCGCGTCAAAAAGCTGACGACACGCGCTTAACCATCAGCTGATTATTCAAAGCCCCTTTTACATTGTTGACTATCCCAATCACACGTTGGAGAGCGGAATTACTGCCAACAAGGCAGGCTATTTGCACTAAGTGTAAATAGACACTCCGTATGTTTTATTCCATAGTAAGCGCAATTCATACAATACATTTAAACTGAGCTACTTTAATACCATGAGATGCATACATGTAAGAGGCTGACAATTAGCTGAATATATACTTGTTTAATTAGTGACACTTAGCCTGCATTTTAAAATCTTTATTTGAATGTGGCAATTAACATTTTTATTTTTAAACCTTTATTTGAATATGGCAACATAATATCGCACTCTACAATATTTCTATGAATAAATCTCTAACAGAGACCCCTCCCCTATCAGCCAATCAGTGTGTGCATAGTTAGTAAGCATGCTGACATCATCCATACCAACGAGGTCAACCCCGCCCTTGCTCTTAGCTTAAGACTTATCTCTATTCCTTAGTAAATGTTTATCTCAGCAGCGTTGTGAATAGGTTTTAAGAGAAACCTCTTAGCTAAAAACTTTTACTGCTATTTAGGAGAACTCTTAGTAGTGAGATAAAATGTTTTGTGAATACGGGCCCAGAAGTACAAACATTATGTAATTATGTGTTTTCATTATAAAACTTGTCAGTTCAGCTCATATTACCTTAATTTAAAGGAAAAGGTAAGATAAGATCATTTAAACTTTCCCAATTAAATTGTAATTCCATCTTTTCCAGTGTGCTATAATGTAATCATAACTTATTTGATTGTCTTCTTTTAATTTTCTGCACATTTATTTAGCAACTGTGATTGACTTTGCCAGAGCCATCAACAGGTTTTTATTTACAAAGTCAAATCATGCTCTCACAGTGTAATGCGATCCTTATGATTTATGAGTCCCCAATGAGGTATATGTCTTTCCTTAGAGCTCAGATCCTCATTTTTCAGGAATGCACAAATAACATTTGACTTGATGGCCTGGATGAATGCTGCAATGTATGTTGTGTTCAGAGATGCAATTTTCATGCAATATAAAATATATATATATATAAAAAGTCAATTTGAGACAAGCTAAACTAACAACAACAATAAAACAAATCAAAACCAACAAAACATCATTCCCCCACCACAATTATTTTCCTTTGCGGACAAAATATCGATATCAGTGTCTACAGCAATGATTTATTTATATGATCTGCGTCAAGACAGAAAAGACAATATCTTTTTTTTTTTTTTACAAGATAATGGTGCCCCATTATTATAGAAAAATGTACTGGTTTGCTTCTGCTTTATTTTTTGAGTGATTGAAAGTGTGAAGACAGGAACCAATAAAAGTCAATAAACAGTAAAAAAGATGCCCTCTTTTGTATGCTGCAATAGAAACAGTATTAACAAGGGTCGAATGCAATGGTTGACTTGTAGTCCAAACAATGTTTTAACCGAAGTAACTAAGACTCAAGTTCCAGTCACTCTTGTTATCTCTAAAAATCAGAATGAGGAGGGGCTAGCTAACCATGCCTCGGAGTGTAATTTAACATATACTGTATAAATTAGTGCAATTAGCACATAGCAACAAGAGAATGGTACAAGAAAAAGCCAGACAGCCTGTTTAACTAGTCGAAAAAATGCAAGTACAACATGATTCAAGTAACATTTTCTTTATTAAAATTTGCAAAACCATCTGTTTAAAGTTCTATTCCAAGTGCTTCACACATGAAAAGTCTTTACAGGTTTTTGCATTCCACTGCGCTGCTTTTCCATAGTTTTTTTCTATGTGAACATGCACTTGACAGGCGTATTTGACCGTAGCGTCTCGCGCAAGAAATAGCATTCTAAAACACGACATCCAAGGTAAAAGAAGTTTGACTTTTGCCTCATAGCATTGCATTTTTCCCCCATTCCACTGTCTGCATCTTGTGTTTATCAGTGCATTGTTTTCAATCTGTTTATTGCAGTATTGTCAACATGTCTAATTGTAACGTTTGCTAATATTTTAATTCAAAACCATGATTCCTTGATTTTAAAAAAAAGAAAAGAAAAGTGTAATTTGCACACTAAGTGTAAATAGCCCACCTTGTTGGCAGAGGCTATTTACACTAGCTCTGCCCCCCATATACACAGACAACATTACAAAACACACGCTTCTTTCAACAGGCTCGGTGGCATAGGGCGTAAAGTGCATGGTGGTGTCTTTTGATGCGATCAACCCGAGTTCGACTCTGCATTTTGCCAAACTCATTCTTCTCTCTTTTCCCATCACATCAGACCAGAAATACATTTATTTTAAATAAAAATGAAGTGAACATATAAAAAATGGAAATAAAGTTTCCAGGTTAGGTGTAGGGAGGGCTTTATTGTCCCAATATAAGGCAGCATCCATTTAGTAATTTTAAGAAATATAATAATTTATACTCAACATATTATAACTGCATACTGTTTTATAATGTACTACAATAATGAGGTGTAAATATTTGCCATTTTTACAGTGAAATGCTGCTATTTTTACATAGGGTAAATAGAATCTATCATTATTTGCACTTAATGTACTGTAAATAGCATATCTCTAATAATACTGCATTTCTATTTGCATTTAGTGTAAATGGCATCTATTACTAAGAAAATATGTGACCCTGGACCACAAAACCAGTCATAAGTAACACGGGTATATTTGTCGCAATAGCCAAAAATGCATTGTATGCGTCAAAATTATCGATTTTTATTTTATGCCAAAAATCATTAGGATATTAAGTAAAGATCATGTTCCATGAAGATATT